CCCAACCGCCACGTCACCCGCCACGTCATCATCCTAGAAAAACCACAAAGATATCAGAAAATGATATTAATTTTGAGTTCAGTTACACTGCAAAATCACCAAAAGATGATGAGCAATCGAAATCACAATCGCAATCACAAGTACATGGAAACGTGACCATGAGAGATATTTTGGAGCCAAGAAAAAGTGGAGGTATTTCTTCGAAAAAAAATAATAAAAAAGAAATTGGAAAATATGGAAAAAAAGAGGAAAAAAACGGAGGATTTGGGAAGAAGATTATGCAGTCGATTACAACACCGTGTAGAAGTTGCAGTGCGGTTGAACCATCTGTGGTTGTTAAAAAGACAAATATTGTGCAACAGATTTAAACATATTCTTATTATTATTATTATTATTATTATTATTATTATTATTATTAATTTTTTTCGATTTAAAATTGAATTATTTATGATTATGTTATTGTTAAATTAGACCGAAAAAAAAAAAAAAAAAAAAAGTTGGATCTTGAGTACATTGCTATTTCTTGCTTATTGAAATGGATGTTATGGGGATTGTTGTAAATATTTCCTATAAAAAAATTATCAGATAAAATATATTATCTAGTTACTTTTATAAAATAAAATTATAAGGGAATACACAAAATTAGGTTCTAATTCACAAACATATAATAAATGATAGCTGCTTTAAGATCAATACAAATCGAAAAAAAAAAAATGTGTAATAGAACGACCATTAAAAGTTGAAGGAAAAGAAGATAGAATTGTCACCTTTATATGTTTGTGATTCGAGTGATAGCCACTTCTTAATACATCCACCTCTTTATATGCTTATGAAGAAGCATTTATCTTCAAATCAATTGGTTACATTCTAGAAATAAAGCCAAAACAAATCAGAAGGACATTCATGTCTTTTACCTTCATACTTAAGTTAACAGTATGCATTTGTTTTTCTAATAAGTTAGGACCTCCCATATATCTTTTTATTAGTTTTAGAAATTAATAGAAACCCCTAAAACAGGTTTCCTTGCTCTTTTTCATTCTTTAGGTTATTCTTCTGATTTCTGACCTGACATGGCGTCCACGTGGCAAAAACTGACACCTCAGAAAATATATGAAAAAATCACAACTGCAGGATTCAAATACCGGTCAACTTTGTGTGAAGGCCAAAAGGAAGTATTTCTTGTAATTATTTGTATTAGAACAATTAAATGGTTAAATGCTTATATTTATAATCTAAAGAAATATGTGTTCAATATAACTATAATCATCTTTATTACAGTCACATGCAAACGATTACAAAAAATGTTTCCCACAGACCAATAGAGTTTACATAGGAACCTTAAATAAAAAAATAAAAATAAAAAAATAGCTAACATATTGTATCAAGTTGTCAACTGTGAAGAAATAACAAGAAGATCCATAAATACAAAAAAAAAAAAAAATAGCAACATCCTTTCATTTCATTCTATTACAGCATTGTGTTTTCAATACTTTTATTATTAAGGCATTGTACTTCGAAAAATATATTCAGTTTATAGCATTGTACTTTCAATTATTTTTATTACAACACCTAACTTTCAGAGTTTAATGCAACTATAACAGTGAAAATTGTTTTGTATTTGGATGGAATTGTTATAAATTATATAATTGGGTAGATTTTTCAAAGTACAGTGTTATAATAGAAGGAAATGAAAGTAGGATGCTATAATAGACAAATAAATGAAAGTAGGTTGCTATTTTTTTGCATTTAACCCTATAAGTAATATGTGAGGATCTAAGGGAGGATTGTAGCCAACCAATGATAGAATATGTGTTCAAGAATTATAAGTCTAAAACTGTAATTATGGCTTGATGTCTTAAAGTGGTGTTTTTTATAGAAGACAAGATGCGAGAACAGCCTGTAGAACTCATCGAGCAAAATAAAAGCAAAACTGTCATGAAATAATAATGAGGTAAAAATCTAGTCTAATCATAATGTTTTGACAGATTTTTAATTTGTATCAGGAGCTTGAGAAATTTATAAAGATTTTCTGAGGACAATTGATCTAAAACTCATATTCATGGTGAATTAATGATAAGTTTAGGTTAAGTTTAAAGAGTTTTGAGTTGTTAAGTTGGTGAGTGTGATCTAAAAGTGATTTCATGGCAAACTTTATAGGTTAAATTATGAGCTTGAGTCAGGGTTTCTGAGCTAAGATCATTGTTGTTCAAAGGAGAGCAATATCTCGGTTTTCTAATAATAATGTAAGACTATGGCTCAAGAACCATGCTCAGATAAAAAACTTGTAAAATCATAAATGGAATATTCTTTTATATGATCATATCCAAGTGTTTAATGGAAAAATCAAGACACTATGTTTGATGACAAATAAATCTAACTGGGTTTTGGAAAGAATCGATCAAAGACACAATCAATAAAAGACTTTTATCTTGATTATCATCACATGTTTCCAAATGGATGAGGAGAATGAAGCTAGAAGCAATGAATGGGGCAAAGAGTAAGTCTAAAAGGAGACCACTTGAAGGCAACAACTTGAGTTCCATAAAAGATGAAACTCCCTTCATTTCAAAGAATATCATATATGGAATCATACATCGAGTGGGATACAAAGATGGAGTTCATCTTTGTTCACCATGAACACTCCAATCGTAAGAAGGTAAATCTCACTATAATTTGAGTTTTCCAAGCACTAACATAATAAGATGAGCTTGTGATTACTAGGTGGAGAAATAAATAAAGGCCTATTGAGACTTGGGATGCAATGAAGATCATGAAGGAAGTTTTGTACAAAGTCACTTCTTTCATGATCTTCACAATTAGAATCTAAAGCATAGCAAAAATCGTATGACTATGTCAAAGAAATGGAGAGGAGGATCGAGAAGCTACTATGCCAAGCTCTTAATGTTTAAATTTTAAAACTCAAGATCGTGTTGAAGTACACAATTACGTTCAAGAGACATGACCGTAGCAGGTTAGACACAATTGGTCGGGGGCTAATGTCGCCTCCCTGGTGAGTCTACGGCAAAATGAAACCAGTTGGCATGGCATGTGTATCTGGGTAGGCTGGTCTCGTGGTTCTAGTGAGAACCTCGAGACGCCACACAGGCAAAGAAGAGTGTCGAATTTAAGTTTGTGAGAAGTGGTATCAGAGTCGCGTTATAAGACATACATTGAGTTGGGATGCCTAGAGGGGTGACCTGCGGAGGACTGCTCAACCTCCTCGCATAAGTCTAAGAGTAGACTGGGGGTGGCCACATGCCAAGGATCATGACCCTATGTGTATTCGGTTGGGATCACGGAATGCGATGCGTAGTTATACGTGATGTTGATCGAGATTCGAGGGGACAATAATTTTTATCCTGCTGCATAAGGTCGTGCTATAGTTTGGCGGTGGGAGAATTCACGACCAAAAGTTGGTGTGACCGTGAAGACCAAAGAAATAGAAGACCATGTCGTTGGTTAGTGTGTCGTTGAGATCTATGGGGCCCTATTAGTCCATGAAGGCGTTGTTAGTCTAGTCGCTTCCGTTTGGTCAAGTCGTAAATGCTAGAGGGCTTGACTGTGAAGGGGACCGTAGCGGGCTAGACACAACTGATCGGGGGTTAATGTCGCCTCCATGATGAGTCCGTGGCAGAGCGAAACCAATTTGCATGTGTATCGAGGTAGGCCGGTCTCGTGGTTCTAGCGTTAACCTCAGGACGCCGCACAAGCAAGGAAAAGTGTCGAATTTAAGTCTGTTACAATAAGGTTTCTTATAAGCTAGCTTATTCTTTGAGCTTATTGCAATGTAATGTTTGGTGAGACCAATAAAGTAGTTTGTAAGATAGCTTTTTAGAAAGCTATATGAAATACCCTTATATATCTAAATATCCTTTTATGTCATTTTAAAATTTGCCATCTAGCTTAGAAACTAGTTTTTACCGAATGTTATTACTTTATCAACTACCAGCTAGCTTAGCTTTTCAAGAAAAAACTAACTTTTCAACTAGTCTAAAACCAAGCTAACTCCATAGAAATTATATCCACTACTTATTCCTCAGCAACTAAATTTCGATGGACAAAAAAAAGATAAATTGGAAAACAGATATATGAAATGCTAATTTGGATGAAAAGAAAAAGCTTGCACTCATAAAACGGATGCACACGAAGGCAAGGCTAAACATAAAGGGGAAAACAAAGCAACATGCAAAACAAACCAACAAAGAGAAGCATAAGATGACTTGTTAACCTGGTAATTAATTTTTATTACATATGTAAAAACGAGTTCTAACACAACAGTCCAAATAGCTTCGAAGAGGGGTGTTCATTTCAAGTTCTAGAGTGCATCAATGACAATGCTTACACACTATATTTTCTTGGTAAGTATAGTGTTGGTGTGATTTTCCATCCACGGTTTGAGTCATTTTGATGTGGATTTCGATTCGAGGACAAATCATTTTCAAAAGAAAAGAAATGACGCATATAGAACATGACTACAAAAGATCACATTTAAGTTCCAAATAGTTGTTGCAAGAGCATGCGCTAAAGCATTCAAGGAGACATTAAGGAGGTTGGATAAAAAAAATGTTCGAACTTAGAGAATTCGTGGAAACCCATTGAAGGTGATAAATGTCTTCCACAAGCTGGATCTTGATAACTCAAATGAGGAATGATGCAAAGCATTTTAAAAGACCCTTCTATTTTATATACTTTATTCTATTATTATTTGTCTTTATCCTCCTAAAAGAAAATTACTTACGAGCTATAACGATTAAAATAGTTAGGGGATTATGTGTCTACGTTCGTAGATTAAATGAGTGAGTTGTGATCCGTCAAAGTAAACTAAACTAAAGTCACGTCTTTAATTCATTTAACATTTGTGATGCCTCTAAACTTGTAAATAGATCGTCTTTCAGCTCATCCACATCAAATTCAAATGAGTTTGTTTTTAAACTCTTTCTAGGCATCAAATGGTGAAGAAGTAGAAGTCCGTACCGATGAGCAAGTTCTACACCTAAAGAAAAATTTCAAGTGCCTAGGGTCTACGGTTCATAGAAAAGGGGTATTATAAGATCTGAAGATGACATAACCCGTCATTTAAAGACATGTTTGTTATAATGGAGAGAGAGTAGTCGAATGAGTTGTGCGTCACAAGTTCTTGTTCGGACTAACAGTAAATTTCACAGGGTGGTTGTAAGGCCATCTTTGCTTTGTTGTATGATTTTGAATGTTGGCCTATTAAACTCAAGAACTAGAAGATGAAGGTCGTGAAAATGATGTAGTGGTGGACATGTGGTAGAACTTTGTTGGACAAGATACCAAACAAGACAACTAAATTTTCTTGGGAATGGTGTCGATCATCGAGAAACAAAGGGAAGAAAATTGTAGTGGTTCAAACAATGTCCGTAGTAGACAACCCATAACTATGGTTAGAAAGGTGGAGACGGTCATTATTGATGGTGCAAAGAGAGGAAGCTTGACAAGGAAGTGTGAGAAGTTAGGTCAGGTTAGACTTGAATGAGTTAGCTCATGCAGAAGAGACAAGACGTTAGATAGAAGGGTGTGAAGGCTTAAAATCAAGGTAGTGGAGTAGTATTAGCTAGACATTAGATTTCTTTCCATCGGTCGAGCACGATACTAAGTTTTTACCGCTTTACTATTGTCCCCCATTTACTTTCAACTTCTTCTGCGAGTACTTGCTTCTTGCTTCGTTGTTAGTATCTGCTTCCTTAGCATTGTGAGTTGACCTTTCAATAGCAGAAGATCACCCACGCTCGTGTTTCTTTTTATGCTAGAGGTGATATGTGGAAACGGTTCGCCTCCCAACACCTTACCTCATTCTTATTCTTATGTGACCGGAGTATTGTTATTATTATAGTTGTGTTAAAACTCTTTTAATTCTTTGTGAAATTTAGTATTATTATCTAGTCATATTAGCTTGTGACATTCAAAACTAATAAACTACATGGGTTGATTTGTTACTTTTATACCAACGTTATTGTCGTTTCCACTCACAACGGCCAATTTTCACCACAACATAATAGCAATCATTAGAATGATAATGGTAGGGTAAAAAAAACATGTCCAAATCCATACTTTTAGCATAAGACCACATAAACGGTTTCACGTCATAGAGGAGAAACAACTCTACCACAAAATCATAGAAACTTGCAGCACTTAATGAGGCCGTGTCTCTTCTAATACATGTAAACCTCCGCCCTTGATGAAAGTTTCTAAAAATATAAGCACGTCAAGATTTCCCATACTTCTTAATATATCCCTGCAAGTAAAAATATACCCAAATATCAAATTAAGTAGACAATGTCTTCCATTCTATAATTCACCTCATAGAGAACACGCACCTCAACAAGTTTCACAAGTTTTTGTTGACACGAAGACAGATAGAAATCAGTAGCATCTCCGGTGCTTGGAATATTCTCAGAAGGTAATGTGCTAAGGACCTTGTCAACAACCTTCTTAACAACCACTTTGTGAGCATCCTTGCTAAGGTTACCCTCACGCCATGCTGGCTTCACAATTTCCTTAACAAATTCTATAAGAGCACCACGAAAATGTCTAAGGGCTTTCGATTCCCTTTGCATAACAACCTCATCCCCTTTCGCTTCACTAGTTACTTTAATTTCCTTTTTTGTGGGCCCATCATTTGCTTCACTTGCTTCCGTCATATCTCCATTATAAACATGGCTCATATGCATATGCTCATTTCCTTTTTCTACATTTACTTTATTTGAACTTGTATCCTTGTCATGACTAGCAACCGAATGTCTTTCAGAGGCATTATCAATATCAATGTCATGTGGTGTCACATTTACAGGTGGATTGATGTTTTTTGGTGAATGTGTGGTTGAGGTTGAAGGGCCTTGACATGAGGAAGAAAATTTAGAAACCCCAACTCCATAATCTGGTTGATCGATGCTATCACGGATTGGATCATATAGAGTAGATGGAGAAAGACCTTGAGAGAGAAGAAACATTGACCTGAAGGGTTTTGATGGCTCCCAATCATATTTATAAAATCTTGTTGAATCACCAGATAAAACATTATTCTGATTCTGATTCTGATTCTGATACAAATGTTTTGTTTCAGAACCAGATCTGTAATCATTCATGGTTGGAAAGGAATCAGGATTATTCCAAGGTGAGGAAGAGGAACTAAACAACATTGAAGTACTAGTCCAAACAGAGCTATGGTTTAACGGGGGTATTTTCGTCATTTGAGCAGAAATCAAAGGGGTGTTTTGAGAATTACATGGCTTGTCCTCCTTTGACTCTTTTATATGAAGAAACCTACAAGAGTTTCCCTTAATACACCAACCTTTGGCAAAAAACTCGCATACAAGAACCTGTCTTTTGTTTCCTTCTTTGGTTTTTGTCACAGGTGATGAACTTCTAGGCCTTCTCAGAGGCACATCCAATCTGGAAAATCAGGATATTAATACATCAGGCTTCTAGGGTTCAAAAATCTAAAGAAAGGAAGTTAGTAATGTTTTAGAAAAAGTACCTAACTGATACACCATCACACTCTGGTTGTTTTTGGTGTTTATCATCCATATCTTGATCATTTATCCCCTTAGTTTCATTCTCAGAAGAAGGTGGGAAATTACCTTCATTTGTCTCTTTAGTTTCTTTCTCAGAAAGTGGGGATTGAATAACTTCATTTGACTCCTTAAATCCTTTTTCAGAAGGAGGGAATTTATCATCATCATCATTGGGAACTTGAATCACTGATTCTCCACTCAGTTTCACTACTTCAGCTGATACTGATACACCAACAGGATTGGTAGTATTGACAGAAGAAGTTGTAATCCCACCATGATCAGATTGAGAAGGTTTATTATCATTGTCAGTGTAAAGCATGCCACCATCATCTACAGTTGTTGTTTTCCCTGCAAGGGTCCACAGCATGTCAGATTCCAAGTTTTCCTTTGATGCTCTAAAGCACCTCCTTTCCATTGAACAACTAGTTTGTAACAGCATATAGTGTTGTTTCCATGGTTGTATGTTTGGTTATTTGAGTCATGAAATCAGTTCTATCCCTACACTAATACTACCATAGTTTTTGTTTCTAAACCAAAATTTTGTCTCTATCTTATAGCAAAGGAAACTAGTATAATCATCTCGGTTGTTCCATGAGAATAGAAACAACACCAATGATGATTTTGGTGTTAAGGAGTGTTTTTCAACACTTTTAAGTAGAAGATATGGTTGAGTGGTCTTCCATGTTAAAGATAACTCCATTTTTGTAGAATAAAGGAGACTTTCCAAAGCATGTGAAAGTTGCTAGTTTCTTCTTGTTCTCTGAATTTCGAGTGTCTTGTCAAGTTGGAGATGATTAAAATATCGGAGCTTTTTTGTAGTCATAGATATCTAAATGTAGAAGTAATTTTACATTTATGACACATGAGTAACCTTCAATAGTTGTCAAGATTCTTGATAGATGAGGATAGAAGATCAAGTGTGGCAATGTCATGCATAGTTTGCAACCCATATAGGTTTTTAAGGGTTGAGACCCATATTAGGCACAATATAAGCCCAACAAAGGAAGTAAATATCATAGAACTAGATGATGATGAAACCTAAAAGAAGATCCACATTGAATGATTAAAGTAGGTATAAGAGGAGGAGCCAATATGAGGGGGAGAAAGATGACAATGTGCATTTATAAGGTAGTAAATAAGGTGATTACAACAATCAAATGTAAAGGTAGGTATAAGAGGAAGAACCATTGACATTGTATCTAGAAATCGAGCAATTGAAACAGTGAAAGGAATGTAAGGGAACTTATGAGTATGAATATCTTCATTATGCAAACAGAAAATTTTACACAGAAATGCAGAATCAGAGTGCATGGGTGATGGAATCAACAAGAAAGATGAAAGTATGTAATGTCTAGGGATAATAGTGTGTCTGGTTATTTGGGTAGCCTGTAAATGTAGGTATGCCCTATAATATTATAAAATTGGTAATTTAATCCTCAAGACAATGAGGATGTTTGATGAATAAGGTATAGAACTTTGTCCCAATCTACAAGTACATGAGGATAAAGAACTAGATGAGCCCTCAGTCTTCGTCCGTTGACAAAAGCATAAAACCCTAGAATGAAGCGAATTGGGGAATTGCTTGCATGATCATATAAATTAAGAATTAAAATACGCCAATCTAAGCAGCAGTGATAATAACAGAGAAACTAAATCATGGGCATAGCTCAAAACCTAGTTAAGATGTCAAAATGGCAAAAGTAGTATTTTAACAATAGAATGATGCGCACCTTTCTCGTGATCTCCTTCGTCGATTGGTGGCGATATATCTTCCCGCTTTTCTTCTACTTCTTCTTCTTCTTCCGGTTCTTCGTCTTCTTCTTCTTCCGGTTCTTCTTCTTCTTCTTCTTCTTCCTCTTCCTCTTCCTCTTCCTCTTCCTCTTCTTCTTCTTCTTCTTCTTCTTCTTCGTCTTCTTCTTCTTCGTCAATTTTGACAACAGAATGATGCGCACTTTTCTTGTGATCTTCACCATCGATTATTGGTGGCAATATATCTTCTCCCTTTTCTTCTACTTCTTCCTCGTCTTCTTCTTCATTGACTTCTTCGTCGGAGACTTCTTCTTCTACTTCTACTTCTACCTCTTCTTCTACTTCTATTTCCTCGTACTCATACTCGTACTCGTATTCGTCAGAGTCGGAGGCAATTGGGGATTTACCAGCCGCCGCAGCGGAGGCGGAGGTGGTTGTAGGCATCAGTCGCGATTGAGATGGCAGTGAAATTTTGTTTGATTTGAGCGAGATCTTGCGAAAGCCTATTCGTGTGAATCCTCGCCCCGCGGCAAAGTCGAAGTAATTATTTTTCTTGATAAACTTGTGTTTGTTTCAAGAGGTTTTTTTCTTAATTAAGGTTTGAAACTTGTGTTTGTGTTTTTTTCCAAGTAAGCAAATTAACTAAAGTAATCCACATAAACTAGAGTATTAATAAAAGTAATTATTACTTTTTTTGAAATTTGCAATATAACAATCATGTCCAGACCAGTAAAGGTCATTCCGAAATTAGTGGTTGGCGGGATATGACATTCAGAAGAATCTAACACTGTACATTTCGGGTTGAAAAGTGTGTTCTTGGATTCAAGTTCAGAATACAGAGTATTGTTCGTAGTATTTTAAAAGCACTTGTTTGCAGTACAAGACAATGTGAGTGAATCGACGTATCTATGTAGTATGTTGCTCCAAACTACACATAATATGATGTAGACTTATCGACGATATACTTTTATAGGTTCATTATGTTAGTTGTCGAAGTTCAAGTTATATACTAATCAAATTTGTTTGTCTTTTGAATATCCTAGATCAAACATAGTTATAGAGATTATTGACGATAATGATGTTAAATATTTCTCAATTTTGTTAGTAGTATGGATCCTAACGCAGTATAATTGTTTGTTGTTGATGATGCTTGGTGGCAATCGATTTGTAGGGGAAAATCGTTCCAATGGCAATGAGTCTTCAAGTATTATAAGTAACCAAATATATAATTTATTACCTATGACAATGAATAAGGTTCCTTCTTACAATGTGCATGTATACAGGGGTGATGTTAGGTATAAATGTAAGGTGGTTGTTGATGATGGTCCAACATTTGAGGGTGATAAATCATCAATCGATTAGGTAAAATTGATGATGGTAATATAGCTCCATACAAAAACCCAATGGGAAAATTCTATTATTTTTGTAATATATGAGGATGATGAAACTGAATCTGAAGAGGAGGAAACTGAGCGTCGACAACCCCGTAAGGAAAAGTACCCTAATTATTTTCATATTATGAAGAAAAAAACTACTCATTGGAGGATGTTTGATTCCTTACTGTTGCCCGGATTTTCAACTCAAAAAACATAAAACTTATGTAGCCTACAATCCCTTTTCACATGTGAAATTGTTATAACTGTTCAAAAAAAGAAAAGAGAGAGAGAGAGAGAGAGAGAGAGAGAGAGAGAGAGAGCTTTGGGATTGAAATGTGTTAATGACATATTTCAAATTAAAGTCAACAAATCTACAATAGGTTTGAAGCAGTTTTCTTTTGTGAAAAATATAAATGGCAGTTAAGGGCTATAAAAGTTAAGGTTACAGATACATTTCAAGTCCATAAATTATCTAAAAGTCACACTTGCTCAAATACACAGTTACATACCCATCATTGGCAAGCCAACAAGAAAGTGTTGGGTCACTTCTATAAGGCACATACTAGATGATGGAACAAAAAATATGTTGTTGGAAAAAGTGTCAGATGGCATTAACTAATTGGTAATATCATTATATACTTATAAAGGAAGCATTTTTCCTTTCGCCACATTCATTTGAAACTCCCATTTATTTTTCCTTTCACCATATCCATTTGAAACTCCCATGACTTTTCAATTTCTTTCTAATAATGATTATAAGTTGGTTAATAAGGTTAAATAAATATAAAACCTAAAGTGTAATCATATATAAACTAAATTTCAATATTAAAAGAATCTATTTTCTTCTACTTATAAAGTTATGTTTTTAACTTTTTAACATATTATACTTAATTTATTAGGTCTAATATGTTGTTGTATGTAAACCATTATTATTTTAAAGCTACAACTTTTGAAAAATTTGTATAAAATACTTAAATTGTTAATTTAAATATAACCTTATAGGATCAACTTAAATATAAATTTTAGTTCAACTTAAACAACCCAAAGAATATTTTGTAAATAGTTAAAAATGATAAATTGTAGTGTCTTTCTAATAATGATTATAAGTTGGTTAATATGGTTAAATAAATATCAAACCTAAAGTGTAATCATAAATAAACTAAATTTCAATATTAAAATAACATTTTTACTTCTACTTATAAAGTTATGTCAACTTTTAACATATTATACTTAATTTATTAGATTTAACATGTTGTTGTATGTAAACCATTATCAGTTTAAAGCTACAAGTTTTGAACAGTTTTGACAAAATACTTAAATTGTTTATTTAAATATAACATTACATGGTCAACTTCAATATAAATTTCAGTTCTACTTAAAATACCCAAAGAATATTTTGTGAATAGTTAAAAGTGATAAATTGTAGTGCTAAAAACAAAAACTAAATTATAATATCAATTTAACTAAAATATTTCCTAAATATATTTTTATAATCGTTAAAAGTTTTCAAATAAGAAGCTTAAAATAACTTACAATAATAATAGTTAAAAATAACTCTATATAAATGATTATATTGTTACCTTTAAAATAAATAAAAAATTTGTTTGATGTTTTAGATAATTACAATGATAGAAATTAAAACGTTAAGCAAATAAATTTTAAAAAAGTAATTAACAATAACAACAAATATAAATAACATTAAACCATATATTATATTTAATTTTATTAATGAGTAACCCGCGGGTAGAGGTCATTCAAAAGATTGAGATTATGCAGTTTTAATAGATGTATATATTATCATATAATTCAACATAATCAATATATTATATCAACTTAGTATACGAATTATTATATCAAATTTAACAACATTATTGTTATATTTAAAAAAACATATATTTGTAAAGATTTCAGCTATATAGATGCTTCTACGTAACGCGCGGGCATTCGACTAATCATACTATATTATGAAAGAAGCATTTTTCTTTCACCACATTCATTTGAAACTCCCATTCATTTTTCCTTTCACCACATTCATTTGAAACTCCCATGAATTTTCAATATCTTTCTAATAATAATTATAAGTTGGTTAATAAGGTTAAATAAATATCAAACATAAAGTGTAATCATATAAACTAAATTTTAACATTAAAATAATATCTTTACTTCTACTTATAAAGTTATATTTTTTAACTTGTAACATATTATACTTAATTTATTAGTTTTAGTATATTGTTGGATGTAAACCATTATCATTTTAAAGATACAATTTTTGGAACAATTTGTATAATATACTTAAATTATTAATTTGAATATAACATTACAGGGTTAACTTAAATATAAATTTTAGTTTAACTTAAACAACCTAAATAATATTTTGTAAATAGTTAAAAATGATTAATCGTAGTGTCTTTCTAATAATGATTATAAGTTGGTTAATAAGGTTAAATAAATATCAAACCTAAAGTGTAATCATAAATATACTAAATTTCAATTTTAAAATAATATCTTTACTTTTTATTATAAAGTTATGTCTTTAACTTTTAACATATTAGATTTAATATGTTGTTGTATGTGAACCATTATCAGTTTAAAACTACAATTTTTTGAACAGTTTGGACAAAATGCTTAAATTGTTAATTTAAATATAACATTACAATGTCAACTTAAATATAAATTTCATTTTCACTTAAAAAACCAAAGATTATTTTGTAAATAGTTAAAAGTGATAAATTGTACTGATAAATGTAAAAACTAAATTGTAATCTCAATTTAACTAAAATATTTCCTAAAGATATTTTTATAATCTTTAAAAGTTTTTTAAATAAGTAGCTTAAAATAATTACAATAAAAACAGATAAAAATAACTCTAAATAAATTATTATATTGTTACCTTTAAAATCAAAAAACAATGTTTGATGTTTTAAATAATTATAATAATAGAAATTAAAATATTAAGCAAATAAATTTTAAAAAAATAATTAACAATAACAACAACTATAAATAACATTAAACTATATATTATATTTAATTTTATTCATGTGTAACTCGCGGGTAGAAATCATTCAAATGATTGAGATTCTGCAGTTATAATATATTATATATCATCATATAATTCAAAATAATCAATATATTATATCAATTTAGTATACGAATTATTATATCAAATTTAACAACAACGTTATTGCTATATTTTAATATATATATATATATATATATATATATATATATATATATATATATATATAATATATATATATATTTGTAAAGACTTCAACTATATAGATGTTTCTGCGCAGCGCGCGAGCATTCGCCTAGTTTATAATAATAGTAGGACCCTTTTGGGTTGCCCTCGTGACCCAGTTAAGCAATAAGGAATTAGGAGAAAATAAGGTTGTTAATTTATTATGAATTAATAAGTTAATTGGAAATTATTTTGGAATTAATTAAATAGTTTTAATTAATTGAATGGGTTGAATATTAATTAATTTATTAGTAATCAATTGGAATATTTCAAAACCCTCCAGAATAAAGACAGGGGACGATTTCAGATAAAAATATGGATTATCCTTAGAAATTTGAATTAAGCTGGAGACTACAAATAGGATGCTAGGGATCAAAACCTGACAATCCTTGCCTCTCATAAATTTCGCCAAAGCTCCCATTCCTCTCCCTTTGGACGAAAATTATAATCCCTTGGAGTTATAGAATTTTTTTTGTAAAAGCCTCCTCTCTTTTAGAAGTTCATATTTGATTGTTGGTGTCTTGGGTGTAAAGCAAAAGAGGGATTCATGGTTTAGGTCCTTTTCATCCTTGCAAAGTGGTTGTGACAAGATATCATCAATCAAGGGATAAAGAATATCAAGAGGTTAGTATTTTTGCAAGGCCTAAAGTAGGTTGCTATAATAATAAAATCTAGATCCCTAGGATGTATGTCTGGGTTTTTTTGTTTTCCGTTGCGCTAACTAGTATGTATAAAATGCAATAAATCTCATCAGTGGTACCAGAAACTGGTTTTAGTTATATGAATTCCTAATAAAAACTAGGGGTGAGCATGGTGCAGTTTGGTGCGGTTTTAAGGCTAAACCAAACAGCATACCATATGGTGCGGTTTTTTCATTCTTAAAACCGTTGGGTGCGGTTTTGCAACGGTTCGGTTTTACGGTTTTTAAATGCGGTTTCA